TGGCCTCTAATTAAAATGCTAATGGTGATACTAACCAAGCTATCGAATGTTTAACTGAGCAAATAGCCAAACTAAGTATTAATCTTGCTGAGAAACAAACTGTACCTCTTTCTTCTTCTACTTCTGTTTACTATTCAGATAAAGATAAAACTTCTTCATAACAAGGTAATAATAGTATAGTATATTACTACTATGGTAATAAAGAACATTTTATTAGAGATTGCCACATTAGAAAAGATGATAAAAGAAGAAACTCCCGTGATTATTCTCATGACCGGAGCAGTAACCACTCTTCTAGGGATAATCGATCCTATGACTGTTCTCGCTCCTGTAATAGGAATAGATCCAAAGACCGAAACTCTTACTATTCTAGATATGACCATTCTAGAAGCTGAAGCCAATTCAGAAATAGATCTAGGAATGATAGGGACTATTGATCTAATAACCGATCCAGAAGCCACTCTTTTACTCCTTATCCCCCATGATGCATACATCGTAGACACTACAAATGACTATACTTTCGAACAATTTGAAACCTTTTTAGCTAATGAATCTATTCGAGAAGCATTTAGCTGAGGAAGCTAAAACCAAAACACAAACTCCTTCTTATACTACTCCTGTGAAGTGTAACATTAAGCTTAAAGGAAAACCTCACCAAGCCATAATAGATAGTGGTGCTGCTATTAGCATGATCTCTTATCAAACCATCAAGGAATTAGGACTAAAGATAGAAGCTCCCTCTACTAGTCTTATATTATCTGCTGCTGGATCCTCTACTCGACTTTTGAGAATTATCAAAAATCTCCCTGTAGAAATTGAAGGTATAACTATCCCTCTTAATGTAGAAGTAATGAATGTTGCCTTCTACTTATTACTCTTAGGTAATGACTGGTCACAAAAAGTTGAAGCCAGCTACAATTGAAAAAATAAAGCTTATACTCTCAGATGAAACAAGAAAAAGATTCATGTCCCAACCACTTATAAATATAACCAACCACTACCTGCTCAATCTACTGTGACTGATAAAGAGAATTACAACAATTTGAACAAGAATACCTAAGTCCTCGAGAAGCTTATATGATTGAAACAAATCAACCTGCTGCTTCTACCTCCAGATCCAGACCCTACTCTGATGCCAACCAAGGATATAAAACTTGCTCGTCCACTACTTATCTCTTTGCTGATTGCCCAAACAATCGATGTTTCCGATGTAATCGATATGGCCACCTTGCTGTATATTGTTCCAAGCAAGCCCCTAAATGATCCACATGTAGAACCTGCTCTCAGCCAGGACACTTTTACAAGAACTGTCCAGAAAACCAATGCTACTGATACAACTAGTATAGTCACATTGGAATGAACTGTCCTCAAAATACTCCTATCTTGGAAAACCAACAATATGTGTGTGGATGCTCCCCAAGTAAAGTTGAAAGCCAATGACTATACTATTACTCTTCTCGTTGAGTTAACCATTGCTGCAAATGTAAAGTGCCTCAAAAGTCTGAAGACCTCAAAATGCTAGAGCAAACTTTAGTTTGTAAAGTTTGTTGAACTCATTTCCATCAAGAACTTGATAGAAATGATCCTCAAAGTATAGAATACTTTACTAACGGTGATGGCAAAGAAACTCTTATTCAATATAAACTTTGCAAAGAAGAATGCATTAGATCCAGAATGTACAAACTTGACACTATCCGAGAAGACTCCTGGTTTTGTAATTTAGAACATTTGTATGCTTACAAGGCTGCCAGTGATGTGGAATGGAATCCCAATCTCAACTTGTAGACCCGAGTTCGACATTATACTGAGTCTATCCGAAATGCCGGACATGCCTATGATCTCAACCAAAGCCATATCTTTCGATTAGTCATGATCCAATTAGGCGAAAGTACTGAATATCTCACCCACGCTCTCGAACCTCTTGCTAATGATCGCTCTAACCAAGACTATACTTATGATAAAGTTAACATTATAATAAGAGCCTTACAAGTCCAATTGAGCGAAACTGAAGAAACAGAACTGCAAAGAATCTTAGCTGAATCTTTTGATATTAGCCACCCAGATTTTGACCAACGGAAAGCCATGGAAAACTTACAAAAGAATTTCCTATCTCTTAAATTGTAACACAGGCAAATTTGCCTGCGAAGATTTTTATTAATTTTTTTAATATTTAAATTTTTTAATAAAAT